GGAAAGATTAAAAGCCAAAAGTATCTATATCTATTAAAGAATTTTTAAAAATCAGTAATAAAAGAGGAAAGAATTACTGATACACTCAATAATATGGATAAATCTCAAAAAAATTGAGAGCAAGAAGCCAGGAACCAAGGGGTATTCTGTATGACTCCACTTATATAAAACTCTAGAAAAGGCAAATCTTATCTATAGTGACAGAAAGTTCTTCTGCAGCTGGGGAGACTGACTGCAAAGGGGCACAAGGAAATTTCTGCAGAGATGGAAATGCTCTATATTCTGATTGAGGTAGTAGTTCCTCGAGTGTATGTAACACCTTTATTAAAACTCATTTAACCATACACTTGAAATGGGTGCAATTTACTGCATGTAAATTATGCCTTTGTAAAACTGACTAAAAAAAAAACAAACGTGATTTTCAACTTTAAAATAACCTTGGGTCAAAATATGCTGCTTCATCCAGGCCACCATCTTTTCTTACCTGGATTTTGCTCTCCCCTTCTGATTGGATTCCCTTATAGGAATCCAGCTTCCCTCCAATCTGTTCTTTGCTCTGCAGCCGGAGTCATGTTTCTAAAGGGAAATGTGATTATGTTACTCCCAACAACTCCCATTCTTCACATGTATCGCTCAGGGTTCAATCAGAGAAAGAGAACCGCTAAGAGAGATACAGATGTACATACTTATTACAGGGATCTGACCTACACAGTTACAAGAACCGGCTAAACAGTCTCTCTAGGGCTGTTGGGTCCACCTATACTCTTCCGCTGCTGGAGACTCAAGTCCGCCGGGCAGGTGACTGGGAAGGGAAGATGGATGTAAAGTTCCAACAACCAGCTGGAACGCACAGCCACAAGAATGAACCTCACCCTGTCAGTTCTTGCTGCCTCTGACCTTGGCGGCATGGGGTGGAAGCTGGGCCATTCGTGAAGCTAAACGCATGTGGCCCAGGAGTCAGGGAAATTGAGGGAGGATCCAGGGGCGGGTAGAGCAGTTACAGGCTCAGCCACTGCCTCACCTCAAGAAGTCAGCCAGCAAAGCCACAACACACATGAGCTACAAAATGGTTGCTGCTTCACATCATCCTGCATATCTCCTACAAGACTCTCTCGCGGCCAGCCCTAACCAAAAAACACGGTAGAGCGAATTCTGGGAAATGCGGCTCAGCCTAGCCAACTTGACACGTTACAAAACCATCGTTAACACACCAAACCTTAGATGGCTTCCATTACTCTCGCTGCCTTAACAGAACTTATAAAGTTCGTTGTGACCTGATTTCCACCAGGTCTTCTGGCTTTATCTCCTACTCCCATCTCAGGCTATAAGTATTGAAATATTTACATTTGGTCCTGAGGTTTTCTCTAAATTTCCTAGCCGTTCCACACTATGCCTCCTGGCTGGAATACTCTTCCTTCCTTCCTCTGTAACCTGGCTGAGACCTTTTCACCCTTGGGAAGCCTGTCCTGACATATCACTTTATTGCTGGTGGCCAGTACAAAACCAGGTCCACAGCTGGCACCCAATAAATTTCAACTGAACAAACCATACGCCAATGAGAATTAAGACTGATCACCACTGAATGAACATGACTGGAGACTTACACATATAGGGGATAAAGTGGTGCAGCAAAGGTAATACGAGCAGCCCATTAACACATGGGGAAGGCTGTTCCCTTCTCACTTTTGTCCCCCCTCCCCAGGAAACAGGGGGAAATGTCTAGAGACATTTTTAGTTGTCACCACTGGGGAAGGAGGTGCTACCAGAATCTAGCCGGTAGAGACTAGGATGCTGTAAAGCATTCCACGATGTATAGGACAGCTCCCCTCTCCCCAGTGAAGAATTACCTTGCACAAAACGTCAGCAGTGCCAAGGCTGAGAAACCCTGACAAAGATAAAGCGTATCTGGATATTGATATATAAAAACATGCATTTACATAAACATATTATTTCTCAACTTAATGCAGTTTATAACAGGTAAAAAAATCAATATTTAATGACAGATGGTTTGTCCTACATGCCAGCAATACAAAGTGTTGCATTTGTACCACCAAAACCAAAGGAATTGGTGAGTCCAATACATCTTTTCTCAGTTTTCCATTCCTGTGCCTTGAGTGGAACATAATTGAGATCAAATTCTGGTTCTGTGCAGTCCAGGTTTAAAGTAGGTGGCAGTTTTCGATGATAACAAGCCAGAGAGGTAAAAGCTGCCTCAGCGGCCCCGGCAGCCCCCAGCAGGTGTCCCGTGGCTCCCTTGGTGGAGGAAACGGCAAGAGCGTGGGCGTGCTCTTTGAAAAGATGTTTGATGGCTTTGTTTTCAGCAGCATCTCCCAACGGTGTGGAAGTAGCATGTGCGTTGATATAGGATATCTCTTCAGGCTGTACACCTGCATCTTTTATAGCAGCAGCCATACACCTAATAAAATGAGAAAAGCAACTGAACTCATCGCAACGACATCTAATTTTAGCAAGGTATTCATTGTCTGTATGGCTTACGAAAAAGAAATATCCAAGTACGCTGGATGAAAAGAACCCTTTACGCTCTAATGACAGAACAGCATCTTGGATTACCGTGTGAGTTGGAATGCTGTCTGCATGGGAATAACAAGGCACCCCCAGTACCCTGGACTGATTCATCACCATGACATAAACATACAAACCTATGGATTTTACAATCTCTAATAAAATGTATTTCCATTTTATTTGAATCGTCCTTTCTTCCTTGAGGAAAAAGCCACATGGACTCAGGCCTAGAATAATTTCTCTTCTAGGAATTTCTTATCAGTGGGGTGTGTTAAAACGTGGAGAAAAAAATTTATAACTGTGCTTTAATGTTTTCTTTCACAGTTAAATGTAAAACTTGGAATATGTCCCAATAATCTAAAAAATGTCTGTCTTATTACTTTAAGGCTCAAACACCCTTTCAAAAATTGTCTATTCAGGATATGAGAATTCTAAATAAATGAAGAAGTACAAAGCCAAACCCCAAGAGAAACAAATCCAAAAATAAAACACTTCTCTGGGAAAACCTCTGAAAATCTCATGGATGTTAACACCCTTTTTTTTTAGTTGTTGATCTCTGGGCTGCATACATTTCCTTAAGAGGCAACTCAGAGTATAATCCGAAGCGTGCTGGAAGGTTTCACCTAAACATAACTATTTCCTCATCTAGCTGACTACTAGGCTTGACATTTCCAGCACCAGCAACTACTCACTAAAACTCAGAAATATAATTCAGGGGTCGGTGAACTATGACCCTGGCCAGATGCTGTTTTTGTAAACACAGTTGGCCCCTGAACAAACTGGGGGTTAGGGGTGCTGACCCGTCACACAGTGGAAAATGCCCCCATAACTTTACTGTTGGCCATCCATACCCCCAATTCCACATCCACAGATTCAACCAACCGCGGATCCTGTAGCACTGTAGTACGTACTTAGCGAAAAAGATCCGCATGTAAGTGGAACCGTGTAGTTCAAACCCGTGTTGTTCAAGGGTCAACTGTAGTTTCATCAGAAGACACCCATTCATTTTCGTACTGTCCATGGCTACTCTCGGTTACAAAGCAGAGTCTGAGTAGCTGTGATAGAGATCCTCGTAGCTGGGATAATATTTTTGGCCCACAAAGCCAAAAATATTATTTGTTCCTTTACAGAAAAGGCTTGCCAACCCCTGGCTAATTTAACTGTTTTAATTTAAAACATAATATGATCTAAGCAGGCTAATCTATGAACAAACATACTGACACATAATGTGAGTGTCAGAGGGGTCTTTGTTTTGTGGGTTTTTTAACTTAACTCACTACCTCTTTCACAATAAAAGCACCTTGCTTTTCCAAGTGCGGTCCTCAGACCAGCAGCATCAGCACCACCTAGGAGCTGGTTAGAAACGCAGCATCTCGAGCACCACCCTAGACCTACGGAGTCAGAATCTGCATTTTAATAAGATCCCTGGGTGATTAGAAGTCGCAGCAGAACCCTACTGAAATGGAGCAGAGACCAGGTGCACGTAGGACAAAGCGCTAACTGTACTGTTCACGTCTGACGGAGGGCTGCAGAAGGGAGCCTCCTGACCCTGACGGCTGTTAAGCACAACTGAAGGGATGAAAATGTGGCAAAGTCACACACAGCCTTCTTCACAATGTTACTGGCCTTCGCTAAAAATCCAGACTTTGTAAGGATATTCACATGTTTTCAAATATTTCAAACGTGGTAAAGCAAAGAATTCAAAAACACTAGTTAGTCTAAAATGGGAACACAACAGAGATACAGTACACCAAGGCCAGATACTACAGTTTCCCCGAAGTTGCGACTCCAATAAAGAGTCCTACCTGAAGAAATGTGAACAAACAACCAGTCTTTACCTTAAGGCACCTTCTCCTCCAGGATCAGGGGCGGTTATGTGACTGGCATCACCTGAGAGTCCGTAGCCCAAAATCTCTGCATAGATCCGAGCCCCTCTTTGAACAGCATGCTCGTGTTCTTCTAGCACCAGCACAGCTGCACCTTCTCCCATCACAAAACCATCTCTCTTGGGATGGAATGGCCGACATGCCGACTTCGGATCAGAGTTTGTGCTCAGAGCCCGGGCTCTGGAAAACGCAGCAAGCGACAAAGGGCTGATGCAAGAGTCGGCACCTCCAGTCACCATCACATCAGCATCGCCGTGGGCTATGAACCTCACAGAGTCTCCCACAGCATGAGCTCCCGTGGTACAGGCTGTGGACACTGCATGATTGGGGCCCTTGAGTTTATAGCGAATGCTGACCTGGCCTGCGGCCATATTGACCAGAATCTTAGGGACAAAGAATGGGCTGACTTTACTGTAACCCTTCGTCTGAAACATCAAAGCGGTTTCAGAAATCACTTCAAGGGGAACCATCCCCATGCCAATTGCAACACCAGTAGCCGCTTGGTCAGCTTCTGACTGAGGATGCCAGCCGGAATCTTTCAAGGCTAACTCAGCAGCCCCAATGGCCATAACGGTGGGAGAAGACATGGACTTGATATCTGATTTGGGCACAAAGTTTTGTGCGTTGAATTGACCTTCATCACAACCTCTTGGCACATAAGCTGCGACACTGCAAGGGACACTCTTATACTCTTCACCGACCAGTGAAACGATTCCACTCTCTCCCTGGATAAGACGATCCCACACCAGCTGGGTGCCAACACCCAGAGGAGTCACTAAGCCAATGCCTGTAATGACAACCCGCCTACACAATCTGGGTATTGGCACAGTTCCGAAAAACTTCCTTTCACTTATCAATCGCTGGCACAACCTTGCGTGTATTAGATGAGGGCTTGTAACTTTTAAGAAACTTTGCAAGCCGTTGGACAGCATGGTTGAGACTCAGGGTCAGAGACGTTCCGCAGCAGACCACGACACGCCCAGCAGGTATTGACTGTTGTTGAAATACCTTAAAGGCCTAAGAAACAACATCCAAGGTAGTTTTTCTCGGGTGCTTGATATGAGCTGTTAATGAGCGCAGGGAAAATAATGTTACATCACTTTTACTTATCAAATCACCTGTCTGGACTCAACCCTTTTTAGACTCTCAGTACCCTCGGACATTCCAAGATAAAGAGCTGAAAAGACGACTCATTCGATTCACAACAGAACTTCACAATGAAAAATATACACGCACTCCTGGCCGGATATAGGCTGCGGAAAGCATCCTTTTTCAGGATTACCGAGGGCTTATTACAAAAGACAATTCACGTGTCGGTGGCACAAAACACACTTCAGGGCCTATTCTTTGGGGTGGCGGTGATAGACCTTTTTTGATCAGGGTTTCGGGTACCGCGAAGGTCAAGGGCGGGGTGGGGGGGAAGGGAAGGGGGTGTGGCCAACTCCCCGCACCGCCCCAGACACCCGAGGAAAGCGTGGCGAGAGGAAAAGACACCTGACCCGGGTTCTCCACACCCCTCTCCCTACGCAGCGCCGACCCGACTCGGAGCTGGAGGGCGGAAGGAGAAGAGGAGCGAGCAGCCACTACCTGCACCCGGCCTCCGGCGGCCAGCGCAGCCGCAGTCCCACGCGCGATGCGGGCATGCGCACGCGCACAGCACGTCCGCGCACACCCACGTCCGCACAGGCGCGCACGCGCACGCCCGGCGTGCGCGCCCTCTAGACCGGGAGCCCTTCCCCCGCGTCACCTTGGCGGAGGTCAGACGGTGAGGGGAGGGTTCGGGCGCCACGTCATCGACTCCAGCGTAATTTGGGAACGAGCACGTAACGAGGGGAGGTAGCATTTTTGCGTATCAAAAAGGGATCTCTTTTTTTTTGTTTTGCTAATAATCTCAGATATTCGCCTGTTGTGGGAAGAGGGACTCCGTCATATTCCCCCGGAATGCTAGGGAAGAATTAAAGAAGTTACCGTATCGTTAGTGATCTCTGTATCGCCAGAGCTGTTTATAATAGCAAAGTAGGACTCACCGAAATGCCCAACAGCAGGAAATCAGTTGTCTATTTTGTGGTACATCTAAATAATGTGCAGCCATTTAAAATAATTTTATAAGTGAATATTTATTAATGTGGAAAGATGTTGATAATTTCTTAGAAGATCCAAGTTGTAACTTGTATTTTTCCTTTTTTTTTAAAGGGTTTTCTTGGGGGCGGGGTCTGGTCTGCAAGCAAGTATAATGATTGCGGTGTTTTTCCCTTATTTTATTTTTTAATTTTTAAATTTTTTTGGCCACTCCTTGTGGTGTGCAGGATCTTAGTTCCCCGATGAGGGATGGAACCCAGGCCCCGTGCAGTGGAAGCCTGGAGTCCTAAACACTGGGCTGCCAGGGGATTCCCTTTCCCCCTTATTTTTGCTTAGCTTTATTTATCATCTTCTCTATAGTATACAAACAATGCTTTTGTAATAATAAAGTTACTTTTACTTTCTAAAACTTATTTTCAGCTCTTGGGTGGTGCTCAAAATATCGCGCCAGTGTCTAAGAATGGAGACAAGAATAGAATAGAGAAGAATGTAGACATTTATTTCTAACTGTTCGAAAAATTCAATAACTTTTATTTGCTCAGAGCTCACTGTGAATCTATCAAGGGAAAAATAACATGAAAATATAAAAAAGCAAGATATCAGCAAGATAGTATTAATTTAGATGACCATCTGTTGCTCACATGCTGACCCGGGTGTGTTTTGTGTCCTTCTTTCTTCTGTAAATAAAGGATTGACCATATAACCTGCATCTGAACCTCTCAGCACATTTGTTTCTTTCTGGACAGTGTGCCTCTTGAGTGCTTCCAAGTAGAGTGCTTTGTCTTCTTTCCCAGCTCTAGGGAAGAATTTGGGAGAAGCTTAGCTTTTCCTGGTTAGTACTGGATTTAAATGTGTCTGGAAATAGACTTTTTCTAAAGTAGTTCCCTAGTATGACCTTGAGTCATCCTTGATCCAAGGCCTTTTCAGTCACTTCTTAGGATGACCTTCTTTCAGTGACGATAGAGTTACTTTAAGAGAAATTAAAACAAACGTGGTTATAAAATACAACTAAAAGTTAAGGAGTGAGAGGTACCCAAGCTTGCTCTCTCCTCTCTTCATGGCTATATAATATTTTAAAATCATAGTGTGAAAAGTCCTAAAATATTTTTTGAAGCCAAACTCATATGAAACACAGTTTTAACATGCTGTTCTTTTTTCTTTTTAACATCACAAAATTATCTTGCATAAGAAGTGACAAGTCAATTAAAATATTGTAGAGGGAATTCTCTGGCAGACCAGTGGTTAGGACTCCTCACTTCCACTGGTTGGGGAACTAAGATCCTGCAAGCTGTGCAGTGTGGCCAAAAAACAGAAAAAAAAAAATTGTAGGAAAGTAAAGCCACCAAAAGTCTTTTCATTTTTATTTCTACCTCTGATCTTTCCTTTGGTCTGGAAAGGGGTGAGAGATTTTATGATATTCTAATAGCTATACTGTATGATTTAGTACCATATTCCTTGTTAAAATACCATGGTGTTTTAGCTAAAGTACCAAAATCTTTAAAAAGGCTCCACTTGCCATAGCCTCTTGTTCAGACATATGTTTACTTAAATTTTTTGTAATGTGATTCAAAACTATCTTTCCAGATATAGTTCCCATTCTCTATTAAAATAAATTTCCACCCAAGATGGCTGTTCTCTTGCTCTCTGTACATCCCCTGCCTGACCAGTGCCGGCTTCACCTACACCCTACTCACGTGACTGACCTTCCTACAGACTTGCCCCCAGCCCCAGCTGGTGACTAATCTTTAGATCAGAACCTCTGTAACGTGAGAGTTCATCAAAGAAGCACTGAGGGGCATGCCTCACTGCTGGTAACCAATGAGCCAACCTGACATCAATTCCCCTATAACTGGTAACCTCCCCCTCCCCCTGGAGCAAAGACTGCTGCCATGTCCTGCCCACCGTCTGCTGCAGACGGTGGGGTGTCAGTCCACAACCTTGCTTCAGACATGTAAGATCCCCCATCCATTAAACCACTGGTGTCTCTGTCACTGACTCTGGGCTCTTTCTTTTGTCTTGAAGCTGGGTAAGCCCAGGGCTTGCAGGCCTGCAGGGTACAGCCCAACACCCAGCAAAAGTGATCTTATCATCTCTAGATTGACTTCAGCATTTCTTTTTTCATCTCTGTATCTTTGCTTGTACTTTCTTTTGTTCAACATTCATTTCCTTCCTAAGCTGTGCTAGAAGCTGGCATATGAAAATGAATAGGGTATGGTTCTTGCTTTCAGGAAGTTCATAGTCTAAGGAAACAGCCATGGAGACAAATATGTGCAAACCACTGAAACAGGTGCTGGAATAGAAGAATATGACAGAATTATAATAATACAAAGGAGACAACCGGGTCAATACTACCTTCCAAAGTCAGGAAAGCCTTCAAAAAAGTTGACCTTTGAACTGCATCTTGAAAATGAGTACATGTTCGTCTAGTAAATTTGGTGGGAAAGGGCATCCTGACAGACTAGAACAAAGGCCTGGATACCTGATATCTTCCACAAACTGCTAGTAGTAGTTCAATGTGGCCAATGCTGGATGTGAGGTGTGGGACAAAGCAACAGTGAAAGCATGAGAGTGAAGCAGGGGCTGATCTGAAAAAGTCTTGGATGTTGTGCAGAAGACTTTGGATTTGATCCTGTAGGTCAGAAATGATATGCAGGCAGCCCTGGTCTAACATGGACTGCAACATTCTTTTATTGAATCTAAATTCCTCTAGGAAGGAAATGGTAAACTCTCTCATTCCCTTCACCGGACTCTGCTACTTCTTTTGTCTTGAATGAAGCCACTTAGTACATTCAAGTTTCTTGCCTGACTCGTGACATCATTTGACGGTAGAGTGTGTGTTGCTGAAATCTGGCCTCTACACTGGTGCCAGATTAAATCTCCGAGTTTTGGGTGAAGTAGAAAGAAATGGCTTAATTGCTTTGCCAGGCAAAGGGGGCCACAGTTGGCTCATGCCCTCAAGACTGCGCCCCGCCCCGGAGGGGGTCGAGAGGAGTCTTACGGTGTTCAAGGAGCAGGGCGTGGTCAGCTCGTGGACATTCTGATTGGTTGGTGGTGAGGTAATGCGGAGTCGGCACCGTCAGCCTTCTGGTTCCAACCGGTCTGAGGTCTACATGCCTGTGGGCAGCAGACAGTTAACTTCCTCCACCTTGTGGGGTTTTCAGTATCTGCAAAACAGCTCAAAGGATGTGGCTCAGAATATTCTCTATCGTCCTGGAGGAAGAACTAAAGGTCATTAAAACTCTGTTTAATGGCTAAAGTATTATTATTTTGTCTTGCTTGATTGTCTTCCTTTCTTTCTGCATTTTCTGATTTCTCTGATTATTCTTCAACTAAAATTTTTCTACAGACAAAAGGCAGGTGTAGGATGTGGGTGGAGGTCTATTCTGGGAAGGCCTCATAGGGCCCTGCTCAGTTACATGTGGGCAAGGGGTAGCCATAGAAAACGTTTCAGCAGAAGAATAACGTGATCAGATGGGTGGTTTAGAGAGATCATCGTGTCAGCATGTGCAGGGGGATTGGGGAATGTGGGAGTGGACATGGGGAAGAGAGTTAAGACTGGTGAGGCTCTACGGAGGGGATGAATTGGGGGCTTGGGATTGACGTATGTACACTACTATGTATAAAATAGATAATAATAAGAACCTACTGTATAGCACAGGGGACTCAATGCTCTGTGGTGACCTAAACGGGAAGGAAATCCAAAAAAGAGGATATATGTATACATATGGCTGATTCACTTTGCTGTACAGCAGAAACTAACACAACATTGTAAAGCAACTATGCTCCAATACATATTAAAAAAAAAAAAAAAAAAAGACTGGTGAAGCCCTAAACCAAGACAGTGGCACGGAGGAGAGAGTGCTAGGATGCTGTCCT